CCGAGAGACCACACATCGGACTTTCTTGTGTCGTGAGGAAGACCGCGGGCACGCTCAGGAGATAGGTACTGTGGAACATTCAGGAATTGCGACTGAACGCGAGCCAAGGCGACTTGCCTCGGGGGTGCCATAAGACAGGTTACTATGGAAAGCAGTGCCGGACTTCATGTCATACTTTTCAGCAAAGCCAAAGTCAACCAGGACGGGGATATTCTTGCTGGAGAGAAGGATGTTGGCAGGCCTGAAGGAATGATTAGCGGGACGATCAGCAGAGACGGGGATAGAGTGGACGCACTTGATGTCATTGTGGACGACACCACGTTTGTGAAGAAATTCGACGCCGGAGAGAAGGAAGCGGAACCATTCACAGGCTTTCGATTCATCCACCTCGACTGGTACGAGTGTTGGAAGAAATGCCCTAGGGAAGATTTGGTAAGCAAGACAAAGACGTGATGTTGACACGCGATAGAGGAAGGAGAGACGCGTCAAACGCTTGTATATGGGCCTTCGAGGAAAGGGCTGATGATTAGGGGCACTCACATTGTGATTAACGCGTAGGAAGGAGTGATAATGAACGAATGAAACGGGATGATCGACGGGTGTGGATCCGCCTTGAACGCTCGCACGATCTTCATTTCGTTCCAGCTACGCATAGAAGGTGATGAATGGATGGTACAGATGTGTATGAAGTCACTCACAGCGATCTAACGCGTGCGGCAGTCGTGGAAGTCTTGGATCGGTGTACCAGCTTGACCGCGATCTTGGTCTCCTGAAGTTTGACGAGGCCGTCGGCAGTGGGGGATTCGGGGTCCTCCTTTGGTCGACATAGCCAGACGCTACCCCAGTTGCCGAACCCAATCTCCTCAACGAACTGTAGCTTGTCTGACAAGTCTGCATACACGGCACTTGGTGAGTGTGCGAGCTGGGGACACGCGAGAAGGGGTACCTTGGTCAGAGAGTGAGAAGACGTCCGTAGAGCCCTCGTGAGGATGAGGGATGTCCATCGTTGTCGCCGTGGGTCGAGGCTCAGGCTGAGAGAGTCGAAGTGTCACGGTCACCGTAGTTCAACGATCACGTGTAGTTGCTGACAAATTGACGTTAATCAACGATGCAACGTGTTTTGGCCACATCTTGGCGGGGCATCTGTTCCAATCATTTGTGGGCGCGGAATAGGCGAGATAGTGAGAGGATATTTATTTTTGCAGTCTGTGTTGGTGGAGGAATATTCAACGCGAATTGTGATTCAAAATGGACGTGAACCAACTTTCATTTTCAAACAAGTTCGACGCGTCTGGATGGAAACTAGAAAATAACGGGAGATGGGGATCAATTGGGCGAGCCGACGTCCGGAGACTTCCGCTGATTAGATGCGGAACTTTTCAGCTGCCTTAATTGAGGGACAAGGGAAGACAAGGGACGCGGCAACGAAATTCCTGATGAGTATAATACACAACTACCTTCCCCGATGAGACTCGAGAGGGAATGAGCCGCTGATTGAACTGGACTACCGCCTATAAAATGCACCCGGTTCAAACGGTTTTGATTGAGATCAATTGCCGTTTACGTAATGTGTACTGTTTCTTCTTCAATCCGCGACTTCTTGACCTCGTTCGACGCGCAATCTATCCTCTCATCCCTGATCCCTCGCAGAATTGGCTGATCATGTGTGGTTCCCGCTGAGAACAAGGCGTGGAGACTGCTCTCGCCATATCTCCTAGCTTATTCATTTCACGAGTTTTTACTAGACTCGTTCGGCGCTGCTCCATGCTGCCTCCAAAACCTACATGCTAGTAGAAGTTCTGTTTGATACAGAACTACATTTGCGTTCACAACGGCCCGGAACAATCGAACGCATCAAAATCGTCATGACATAGTTCGTTTCTTATTCAATTCCGTTTTTATATTCGTTCGACGCGGGGGATGTTCCTCTATCATACCTGATCATCCGAGAGGTATCATGGCCTGAGCGGCCAAGAACTTTGTACGTCCGAGTCCTCGTCACGCTACAATTGTCTTTTGACTCGCCCCAACTTGAAATTCGCTCTCTGGAGGATCCCACAGTAGCGGAGCGGAGCCGTGATCCAGGCTGTAAGCGGTTGCGAAATATGTACATGGGACTCCTCTCCACAGCTACAATTCTTGTCGGCTCGCGATTTACCATCCCACAGTAAGCGGCGCGGAGTCGAGACCCTGGCTGTAGGTGTCCTCGCTACAATTCTTATTCAGTCGCGATATCTATCATTCCTTAATGATAGACAATTGCGGATTTCCAATCAACCTCGGTTCGAGGGTTGAAAAAATCATTCCAGGATTCCTCCTCGGTTGATTTACATGGGTGACTATATAAGAGCCGTCCCACAATCGTAGCAGTCAAACACAATGAAGCATCTCGCAGTATCTCTTGTCCTCCTCGTCTTGGCAGTCTCTGTTGGGGCACAGGAACTGCAGTCACGAAAAGCATGCCGCAATGTTCCCGGGAGCGCCGGATACCCTACCACCATGGCCTGGAACGCATTCAACGCGACAATATCCGGGTCCCTGGTTGAGGTGGTGCCGTCCGCAAATTTTTGCGCAGCGCTCCCATGCATCGAGGACCAGTGGTCAAGCGGCCTCTTTCGCAGTACGATCCCGGGAGCCATGGATCAAGTGTGTATGCTTGGCTCAAAATCTACGTCTCCGGCCTACTCACATTTTTTAGTATAATTTTGAACAGGTACAGCGATTTAAATCTATTGGAGTTTCTCAACTAAGCGTTCTTGGCAGGACTATGACATGACTCTTCCGTCTCTGTGTCTCAGAAATGGAACAACTTGTGGCCAAGGGAATGTGCCCATCTATTCAGTGGAGGCCAAGACGGTTGCGCATATCCAGGTCAAGAATGCCACCATTTTGCTTCGACGATTACTGATCCACATCTCAGGCTGCAGTTAAATTCGCCAGTGAGCACAACCTTCGCGTGGCTATAAAGTCTTCCGGGCACGACACCCTAGGGCGCTCGACTGCAGCCCAATCCCTGGTCATCCGCACCAGCCACTTCCAGAACCTCTCCTTCACTGATAAATTTTTGGTCGGCACACACAATATGGGCCCCGCGGTCACTGTGGGCAGTGGAGTCCATTCCCAGACCTTGTACTCACAGGGAAAGGCCAACGGAAGGGCTGTTCTTGGCCCGGGCGCCGCATCAGTCTCACCCGCCGGAGGCTACTGCCGGCCACTCTTCTTTATCGCCGCTTTTTGGCCTCGCCGCCGATAATGCCCTTGGTATGGTCCACAATACTTTCGAGAGGCCACCCAATCTCACATGCCCTTGGATAAGAGTTCAAGATTGTTGTCGCCACCGGCGAACTGCTCACCGCCAATAGTATCTCACATCCAGACCGTGAGCACGCTAGCTTGTCTTCTATTTCTGGATTGACTGACCGATTACCTGTTAGTTTTCTTTGCACTGCGTGGGGGAGGCTCGGGAAGCTGGGGTGTCATCGTCTCAGTGACCTTCAGAACATTCCCCACCTTGAATGCTACTACGGCCTCCATCCATCTGGCCGCTTCAAGCAACGCTGCCGTAGGCGCCCTGGCTTCCGTCCACGCGGAGCACATTTTCGACCTGGATGGAGTTGGCGGAACTCACTCCTTCATTGTCGTCAAAGTGCTACAGACGGAGGTTCCACCGTCTCGCTGATCGCAAACATACCAAACTCGACCACAAACCAGAGTATGGCACTCCTGGAGCCGTTTATGACCGCAGCACTTGATCTCCCCGGAATTTCCCTCCTCTCCCAGGGATATACTTTCGGTGAAATTAACGATGAACTCTTCCAGTCGGACGACGGGGGAGGCGGCAATGCGGTTGCGGGTCCAAGGCTTATACCGGCGGAAGCGTACCGCAATTCGCCTATGAGCGTGGGGCCGGTTTACAAGGAGCTTTTCGACAGTGAGACCAAGTATACTGTGTTTGATAACCTTCCTGATAATCTATCCAGCTTCCGCCGGTGCTCTCAGGATTATTGCAGTGGTAGTTGCCGGCGGTTTGTATCCATTTATCCACCGTGTCTGAAGGCTGAATCTCCTTGTGCTTAGGGAAAGTAGCAGAAAACGCCAATATCTCATCAGCTGTTCACCCAGCGTGGCGGACAGCAAAGACCCATATACATGAGTGAAATTTTAGCATCCAGGGCATACCAGTTGATGTGCGACTATCTAGCTCGTCTTCGCGAATGGCTGGGCAGACTCTGCATCCCTCGACGAGATCAACTTTCTTCGCAAGCAATTTCAGACCACGCAGCGCCCGATTGTCGAAAAATATCTGGGCGAAACGCGGGGTCATACTCCAACGAAGCAGACATTTTCGAGCCAGAGTTCAAGACGACATTTTTCGGGCCGAACTACTCAAAGCTGAGCACCATCAAAGCAAAGTACGATCCCAAGGATCTGTTCATTGTTGGTGCGGGGGTTGGGAGCGAGCGGTGGGATCAGGCAGGCATCTGCAAGGTCTAATATCGACTGTCCTTGGGGTCGTCTCACCACAAAAGGACGAGGTGACTCGAATCTTGCTTACAGTTCCTCATTTCACAAGTTCTTATATTCATTTAAACCGGGGGATCTGCCCATGATATTGTAGAAAGATGGGTCTCGTTAGTAAGGGCGCCAGATCGCTAGCTGGTCAGTTAAAAAATTTCAATTGCGCCACTGAGATCGGGTGTGGAGCTGAACGGTGGGCGGTATGAGCGATGAGCATCGAGAGGAGCTTGTCGCAGTTGATCGCAGAAGGTCGGGCGTAATTTTATAAAGACTCAAGAGTTGAGGTATATCGTCCACTCATGGCAGCAGATTAAGTTCTGTCCGATATAAACATATTTGGGTTTATGCACAACGGCCCGTAAGAATCGGGCGCATCAAAATTGGCATAGCTCGACGGTTTGTTATTCATTTCACTAGTTTTTATATTCGTTGGAAGTGGGAAATGCTCCTTTATCATACCTAGTCATCCCCGGTGGGTATCGGCCCGCCTAGCTCAATCGGATAGAGCGTGTGACTTTTATTCACTCGTGGCGGTTCCTCTGCTTTGGTAAAAAGATTATCACAAGGCTGCGAGTTCGACCCTCGCGGTGGGCTAATGTTCCCTTTTTGCGTTCTCCGACCGTTCCCGAGATTAGCCCCATTCAGCCCAGACTGATCGCCCTCGGCTGAATATCACTTCCGCCTGTTTCAGCAACACAGCCATTTGTCTGTCTTTTGATTTAGCCTGCGGGCGATAGCCACTGACATTCTGGGCGGATTTGGTTTAAGAGGCATGGAGATAGAAAAACAGGACAGTCCGTACCAAGAGGGAGAAGCAAGATCCCATGAAATTTCCTTATTTGGCCACGGGCGGTGAAAAAAAAAGGCCACGTGGATGCCCTAGGCTGCTTGCAATAGGCTTCTGAATCGTATATTGCACCAAGTCAAGAGTACATAAACTACCTCCTACTCCTTCGAGTCCCGCCCCTCGTCGTCCTTCTCCGCATATACCCCCTCGGCTTCCCCGCGGATAACCTTCTCCAGATCCGGCGCATTGCTGTGCTTCACGCCATCCAGCAGCTCGTCGATCTCCTCGAGCGTCTTACCCTGCGTTTCCACCCAGTAATACAGCACGAACGGCACCTCGAGTGCGTCCCACGCGGCGTTGATCATGTACGTCTTCCACCCGATGTTCTGCAGCGCAAAGGGGAACGCGAACACCGCCATCAGGCTGCCGCAGCTGTCAGCGGGGGAAGGAGTGCGGGCAGGAGAGGAAAGGACGTACGCGGTGCCGTTGAGCGCAAACTGCAGCACGCCCATGCCATTGGCGCGGATGGCGTAGTTGAGCACTTCTGGGGGGTAGACGTACAGGAGGGGCGTCCACCCAAAGCTGTACGCGCCCTGGAAGAGGAAGATCATGGCGACCGTCGCGTAGATCCCGGAGTTGTTCATCGAGTTGCTGTAGACTGTTCGACGCGTCAGTGTGGGTCAGAAACAAGAGGATGTTGGCTACCTTTGGTGAGCGCGCCGACCATGAACAGGAAGACCGTGAGGGACCCAATGCTGATGACCGCGGTGGCCTTGCGTCCGATGCGGTCGACGAAGTAGGTCCCCGCCAACGCGCATAGCAGGGAAAAGGCGTTGAGGATTATGTTCTGTTGGATCGTGAGAATGGAAGCAAAGTGAAGATGAGCAAGCGAACAATTTGGAGCTGAGTTGTGGTATTTGTGATTCCAGCGTTAGTGAGCATGGGGCCTACGAGCAATCAGCTCTAATCATTCATCGCGGAGTATCATGTTACCCAAGTAATAAGAAACGATCACATTTCCTGAGAATCAATCAGATTCGCGTCCAGCAGCTCAAAGGGAAACCATGACAGACCTGCTACGGTGCTGAACACGGCGACCGAGATACAGAGTATCAATCGTTTCCTCGCGGACGGCGTCTTGACCATCTGTGACACAGATAGCGGCTCGGCGACGTTCTTCTCGTAGTCAATCGTGTCGATGATCTCTTTGTATTGTGCCAGGACAACGGGATCGTTCACGTCGCCGTTGGCGTGGGTGAGAGCGACCACTCTGAGCGCCTCCTCTGGGCGGCCTTGGTAGACCAACCACCGGGGACTTGGAAGTTGAGTTGCATGCTAGAGCACCGTTTGAATTGCATACCTTTCGGGGATGAATGGAAGGATAACAATGCACATGATGCTGAAGATGCCCTGGATCGCTGATGGAATGCGCCAGGCCCAGGTCGACTCCATGAACGATGTGCCGTACGTGATACCCGCCGCAATGAGCCCGCCTGGTGTCCAGTTGAACCGAGTACACGGACGTAGGTGTCAATGAACGTACCGACGTAGTAGAAATCATTGAAGATGCCCAGACCCCAGCCGCGCCATTTGAATGGCAGGGTCTCTGCGAGGTATGCTGGCCCAGAGAGCGCGGAGGCGGATGTGCCAAACCCGATGAGGATGCGGGCCGCGACGAACATGGCAACATTCTGCGCGGCCGTCTGAAGAATCACCTGTGCAACAAATATTTAGGCTCAGCCTCTACGTAATCAACCACCATACCGCAATAAGGGTTATGACCGCCGCCCAGAATAGAGAAGGTCTGCGGCCGATGATGTCTGTGACTTTACCATAGGAGACACCAGCAAGGATGCCTCCAATCCACACAGACGCGGTGTTGAGAGCTAAGACGAGTATCAATGCGCGACCAAGAAGTGACATGCAGAGCGCGTACCCAGCTTTGTCCCGTTGTCACTGTTGAGTTTAAAGTAGTTGGCATAAGATGGAAGGATGTTCAGCCCATTTCTACAACCCCGTCAGCTCAGGTTCATTCCAGAAGAGGTTGCCGCCGCACATCATAGACCCGTCGTATCCAAAAGTCTTTGGAACCTTAAGCCTATCGTCCGGAAAGCGTTTACAAAGAAACATACCGTCGAGGTGATCATAGAACAGCACACCTAGAAGCACGAGCATGGTATCATTATAGCGCTTGTCTAGAGAGACTGCAGCATACCAGCAGCACCGAAATGAGCACCGACGAATTGGGCACCCTGTCCTTGGTGGGGATTGGCAAAATTGCTCCAGAGAACGTCTTCATCTTGGAAGAGCAGAAGAGAAGCGCCTGCCATTCCTGAGAATATTCTGTTATCTCCCGCGAACTGGAGTGGGGGTGCTAAAGATAGAACTGACTTATGCGCGTGACGAGCGCCAAACTTGGACACACCGTTGACTCTCTCCGACTCTCTCTCTCAGTATCAGTGCAGTATTTTTCCAATCGCCACTAGCTTGTCTTTCAACGCCATCGCTAGCGAAATCTCTCTTGTCTTCTCTCTTTTTTTCTAGCGCGATTTGCTGAAATTAATGTCGGGATCCGTGCTCAGCCTCGACGGCAAAGGCCTCAAGCTCAACACGCGCGCCGATGTTGAGCCTTGGCTGGCCGATGTCGATCCAACTAAAATCGAGGAAATCCACTTCGGCGGCAACACAATCGGCGTCGACGCGTCGCTCGCACTCGCCGAGTTTCTGCAAAAAACCACAATCCTAAAGGCCGGTTCTCTTCTTCCATCATGCCACCCTCCATCTCAATAGATGATCCAAGATCGCGGATTTCGCAGATATATTCACTGGGCGCCTCATTTCCGAAATACCGCTAGCGCTGACCGCAATCTGCGACGCGCTCAAAGACAAGACCTCACTGGTCGAGCTCAACCTCAGCGACAATGCGTTTGGCGGCCGCTCAGTGGAGCCGATGGTGCCTTTCCTCACGCACAACCGCACCTTCCAAGTCCTGAAACTCAACAACAACGGGCTCGGGCCTGCGGGAGGCGTCGTCCTCGCCACCGCGCTCCTCGAATCCGCGATGCTCAGCAAAGCTGAGGGCAAGAAGTCGAGCCTCCGCACCGTTATCTGTGGCCGGAACCGACTCGAAGACGGCTCGGCGTCAGCGTGGGCAGAGGCGTTCGCGGCACACGGGACGCTCCAGGAGGTGCGCATGCCGCAGAACGGAATCCGCATGGACGGTGTCACCGCCCTCGCGCGCGGGCTCTCTCAGTGTCCGGGACTCCAGCACATCGATCTGCAGGACAACACGTTCACCACAGACGGGGAAGTCTCGGGCGTGGAGGCGTGGACGGAGGCGCTCAAGTCGTGGCCCGAGCTGACGACGCTCAACTTGTCCGACTGCGTTCTGTCGGGCGACGGCGAGGTGCCCGTCATCGTCACCGCGCTGGCAGCGGGCTCAAACCCCAAGCTTCACACGCTGCAGCTGCAGAACAACAATTTGGAGACGGAGACCTTCTTGGCACTCGCGAGCGGGCTCCCGAAGATGGAGAGTCTAATGCTGTTGGAGCTGCAGTGGAATGAGGCCGAAGAGGACGACGAGAATTTAAAGACATTGGCGCTGCATATGAAGCGACGGGGGGGCAAGCTGTTGGCGACGGACGATGATGAGGAGGAAGACGAGGAGCCAGAAGACGAGGAAATAGTTGAAGCACCTGTCGGCGAGAAACCGAAAGATTCTCTCGACGATCTCGCCGACCAGCTTAGCAAGGTCGACATCCACTAGTAATATAGATTTATCAAACGACAAAGGAATACTAGTACAGCTGTAGTCTATAGGGTCGAGTCATTTAAATCCGGATGTATTTACAGGGAACGAAGTTGCTGTACACAAGTAGACATTCTGTGTGATTGGCTAGCCTCCTCTCTCGGGGATGACGCTGCCGCTTCGCCCTTGCGGTGTCCCGCCACCAAGTCCTCCTGCGCGGCCCTGAGCATCCTAGGGAACCGTGCCGCAATCCGCAAACGCGAAATTTATGCCCATAGCGAGTCAGCGAGCAGAAGGCGCGTAACGGGCAGCATTTGGATGGGCCAGGGGAGTCGAGGCCAAGAGCAATGCAGGGTCATTCCCGAAGATACGTTGGGCTATTCGGGTTACCCTCGCTGGAGCAGCAGCAAGTCCTCGGGCTCAATAACATCGACAGCGGCGCTGAGATCTGCAAGCTGTCTTCCCGAGACACGTTGTCCGCCGATGTCTGCCCGGGTATTATCCCATCCTGCGTTCGCATCCGCCGAGGCTCCCAGGTGGGCAGGAACGCTGCCGGAGAAAGGGTAGGTGGATTTGCAAGGCCGGAAGCCTCGGAGTGGCGTGCCCGTTGAGGGTTTGGTGCTCGAGTGCTTGATGTCGTGGGCCAGGCCGGGGGGAAAGTGGTCGAGGGCGCCCCTGAGGAAGATTTGCAGGCGCACGGACAGAGAGCTTTCAATTCATCGCCTGGATTGATTCTGGGCTCTGCCGAGGGTAAGACGGAGTACTCCCATCACCGACTCGACGAATGGCGGATGAAAATGAACAGTATTATTACAAGGTTACCGTATGGAAAGTCACCGAAAATTATGGTATGGCAAGCACTGTTAAGTACTCTGCCGGAATCAATAAAGAAAATTTCTCGACAGAAGGAACGGCATACTCTTCGCGTTTTCTGTGCGTTTCTCCACAAGTGTCTTCAATTCGGTGAGCTGATCCGTAAACTCTTTGTAGATATGCTGGCTCCAATAATCAGACAGTGTTAATCGACGACGAAAGAGAAGTTGGTACGCACCTCGACCG